TAATAATAATAAATAAAAAAAATTCTTAATAAATTCGTCAATGGCATTTTTGTTCAACTTCCAACGACCAAAGTCTAAGAAGTTGATAACAAACATACAGAAAATTTCGAGCTGCTTTGTGTTTGGATTTTATCAAAATCAAAAAAGTTCTTTTTGCTTGCAAGTGAAAGTAAATTGCCTGGATGACCGACAAGTGCAGGATGTGTGTTTACGCTCCCAGCTTATCCGTGCATCTGCAGCAGTCAAAGCAGCAGCAACAACAACATCGACAAGCATCAATTAACCTTTTGTAAACAGACTGCACCTTGCCAAGCCAAGGGTTCAGTTACTTTGAATGTGGAACACTTCAAATAAATGATCTGGCTTCCGAGATAGCAATCGATTCTAGATAGACTCTGGCCTTGCGATTGATTCCGATCTAGAAAAGTTCTATGTTTACCCAATTAAAAGAAGCCCAGCATATGCTGATTTTCCCTCACTGTTTAGCCCAATGCCCAGCTACTTGGCTGAGCTGCTCTATGTGGTTGGTCGACTGGTAAGGATTGAATGTAGCAGGATATCATTTTTATTAGTTGTTGCTTTTATTAAATTTGAAGCTTTTCTGCATCGTCGATTTGATGAGCACCACGCTAAACCGAATCAATTGAAACATTCTCATTATAAAGCACAGCTGAAACGAGCGGGGGCGGCAGGCAGGGGCAGGCACCTTCCATAAAGCCTTCCAGTATTGTGTGTTGAAGCCTAGAGCTAAGTACACCTTAATTTGTCAAGCACTGCATCGAGTGCATTAAATCAAAGTCGAAGTCTGTATACTCTACATAAATATATAGATTGACAGTATATGCCGTATATGTATATCTCAAGTAGCTATCAGATAGTATCGATGCGATAGTAAGAGTATGCACAGATCTGTTAATATATGTCTATGTACTGTTAAGTAAAATAAACCGATTTACATTGATAGTAAGGTTGTAAATGATTATTATTATGATCATTATTATACATTATCATTATGGACTGATCACGAATACATAGATACATATATAAGTTTGACTCACGTTTTGTCATTATATCTTTAAATAAACATAACTAAAATATCGCATACATATATATACCCCGTACAGATAGATATACATGAATATAGAAATTCACAATGAATATAGAAATTCATTGTGTATAGTTTGAGTTTGCATATTAAGAAATCGAATCGTATATCAATTAGGTAAACTATAAATACAAAACTCTTAGGAGCATCGAATTGATAGTAGTAATACCTATACATATGATGTATAGAGATATATGCTGACAATCGGAATTAATGACAAAGTGAATATACCCATTTAGAGGGCATAAGTAGTGGGCTAGCCTTAATACACAGCGGGCGGTTATTAATGATTTGACGAGTGAGCGTTCCCCTCGCTTCTGTCATGTTGTCCTTCTGTCCTCCCGTCCTCCCATTCCATTTCCGATTTTCATCCCACCTCAATTTGTTGTGATTACTTGCCGTGTTTGTTGTCAGTTCCACTGGTGGTGGTAATTTGTGCTAATAAAATCAAGTATCATGGGCAAACAGTTCTAGTTTGTAGTTTGCCTTCGCTCCCCCCTCCGTCTCTCCCTGTCTCTCCTACTCTGGCGCTGATCCTGCCCTATAGATAATGCTCACCAAGTGTAATCTCGATTAATTCATTGTGTAGCGCTGAAGTGGAATATAATAATTATGTGTGTACGTGTGTCCGTCCGCCCGTGTCTCTGTGCGCCCGTGTATAGGGTATCAGTGCCAATCCGCTCCCTTTGTAATACACACAGCTGCACTTTGCCACACTTTTTGTTACATTCTGTGCTGCACGTGCCGCAACTGGTGCTGCGAGTCCTGTTGCTAAGACTGCTCCTGCACAGGTAGGACATCATCGTCCGCAACGGGGTGAATCCATCCGTCCATCCGTCCTTCTATCCGCCTGCCGGTGTGTGTCTGTTCTAGTATCTGTTCGCCTCTTATTACCCGCTCATCTCTGCGCGTTTCAGTTTTCAAATTAAGTCGCTTTAATTGTGATATCAGGCAAACGTTTAAAATGCACAGGGACTTAGCTGGTTCACTGTTTTGCTGTGCTCCGTCCTGCCCCGCCCCCGTCCCGCCCCGCTCCCCGGGGACGACATGCTGATCCTGTGATTATGTTTGTTTACAAAGGCGCGACTTTTGCCGTTTGCTGTTTGTTCGCTGGTTTTCGCTTTGATTTCCCGCGACTCGTCAAGTGCGAGCGAGCGCGTTAAAGCCGCCAGCGACTGCAACGCGTTTTTTCGCTCCTGCACAGTGAGCCTAACAATTGGCGAATTTTTTTCATGCCTTTACCAAGTGCATTAATTAAAATAAAACACTGAGAACCTCTCTCTTTGCATAAATTTTTTCCCAAATACTTTCCATAATGCGATATTTATCATTATTATTTATTTACCTTTGCATTCGCTGACAAAATATTGCAGTAGACGAATTTTGCCGAGAGTGAAATGCAATTAACAATAGGATATTTTATCGATTATTGCAAAGATGCGCTATATAAGTTGACTTGATATAATTTGATTATTCTCAATATTGATACACTCAAATTTCTTCACTCTAACTTGTATAGTTAAAAGACAATTTTAAGCTCAATTTAAGGATATATTTATGATAATAATATACAATATGTATACCATACATAATTTTGTATATTTACTTTTATATTTTGTTGATATTACTTTGACTTCGACTGTTTAGTGCCTTAACACAATTTGAACATTTGAAAGCTTTAAAAGACCCAGAATTGGTTTCTAGATATTTACTCTACAAATATAATGATATATGGATTATGGTCAGGCTTATGTTGTTACTGTCCCTTTGTTTATTTTCTTTCTTTTTTCAGCCAGCTTTTTGATGTTACTAATATTTTTCGTTCTCTCTTTATTTTAATTTTCTTTTACTTAAATTATTATTTTTCGTTGATTATTATTTGATTTAACTCCTTATTTTTATTATTATATTTTTAATTATTATTTAACTATAATTTTACTTAAATTTTGATAAGAATACTTTTTAAAATATCTATTTAGGCATTCTAATTGCATCATGGGTCAATAAAAATCTCCCAATTGGATTGCTGACATTATTGACATTATTTTCTATTTTTATTTAGGCTAGCCACGTTTCAGATTTACCTTTTTACTGACGTTYGCTATGCTTACGTACTTAAATAAATAAATACTTATATCGATGTTCGAGCTATTAAAAAATTATAAATAGGTATTTACTTATATTTTTGGAAACTATTTAAGGAATTATTTCCCAACGGACTTAGACAACTAGGCTATGTCTATGTAGACAGCGACTAGATTCCGCACATGATATTTGCAAACTACTAATCAGACAACTTAAATATATCTACTCTGCACACACAATGAAAATTGAAATGTAAATTATGAATGAAAGGGCAAACAAAAATTAATATTACATTTAATGTGAATGAATAATAAAAGAACTTCACTAAATGACAAAAATGTTGCGCTAGAATATCAAATTTTGCTATGTAAATCTTGAATGATTAGCTTATAGTTCTATCCCTCTTAAAGTCCCTTGTGTATGTTGAATGAAATGACGTCGCTGAATAAACAAGTAAGAAGACGCTAGTCGAGACTGCTCGACTAGGAGATACCCTGAATCCTCCAAGCTGATATTCTAATAATTCTGCACTTTTTTATGCACACATACAACCTCGTGCAAACACACGCATAACCACGCGCTCTGCTAACTGCGCAGTAGGCAGCGACTGCGCTTGGGCTGCGCTGCAGTGTGTGCAATATTATGAAAATTTAATTGTTGAATAATTTCTATATATATAGCTTATGAGATCTAGGCGTTCATATGGACGGACAGACGGACAAGGCTATATCGACTCAGCTCGTCGCCCTGATCAAGAATATATATATGGGGTCTGCGATGATTCCTTCTGTCTGTTACATACTTTTCACAAAGCCATTATACCCTGATTTCCCATTTTAAGTGGTTCAGGGTATAAAAATATAATAAAATTTGACTTGAACTCACCGGTCACCGTAATGAATGGTGTGCCCTCGTCGTCCTCGGTGGCCTGCACCACGGTCAACTGGCCGTTGGCCACTTGTTGGGCCAGGTCGACGCCGCTCTTGATGGTGCTGAGGCCAGGCAGGGTGTGTATGGTGGTCGTTGTGCTGTTGGTTGCGCCCGTTGCGTTGGCATCGCTGCTGCTGACGCTGTTCACGGCATGGACGTGGGCATGCAGGTGCGCCTCCTGGCTGGAGTCGCTCGTGTCCATGGGCAGCACAACGCGTATGACCTCCAGTTGATCAGCGGCCGTTGTGGCGTCATCCCCAATGCCGTCTCTCAGTTTCTTTTGCAGGAGCTGGCAATTCTGTAACAAGAACAGAATCAATGAAAGCCATGCCAAATTGCAGATGCAAAGCGAAATTGACGGCAACCTGTGTCATGACATCCTCCAGCGTGGCAGCCACAACCACCCCATCCTCGGTGCAGAACTCGAACTCCTCGGCATGAGTTGTGGGTGTTACGGGCGTTCTTGGCTCAATTGTTAGAACATCGCCAGTGGTTTTGGCCACAAGTTGCTGCTGCTGCTGTTGATGTTGTTGCTGCTGCTGCTGCTGCTGCTGGTGTTCCTTGGGATCTGTTTGGCTGGCATCAACTGTGGCACCCTCAACGGCAGCGCTCGTCGTGATGATGAATTGACGCTGGGTGGCCAGGCGTGTGCTCATCTCATTTGCTAATTGCTCTACAATCTAATCTTTAATTGATGTCTTTACGCTTAGCCTAGGTGTCGGCGCCCTACAAGTCGCTTGATTAAGTTAAAAGGCCAGATTGCACTTTCGATGCGAAATTCGTTGACTAGTTAGTTGTTGGTCTCTCTCACTCTCACTCTGGCTCTCTGTGTTCCTCTCTCCTGCTCTCAATCGGTTTAAGGCAATTGCGGTGTTTAAATGTATTTGGTTGCTTAAGTTCCTAGCAGCTGCAATGAAAGCAAAAGTTATTTTATTATTTATAAGGCTGCAAAAACTAAAAATAAATTCGCTAAATTTAGAAATTCAATCTGCTCCTCCATCCACAGTCGATAGCCATAGAAATGCCTCCTACTTTATGGTATACGAGTGCTACATGCATTTCGTTTTGYTATTGTTGCTGTTGTTGTTGTTTGTGATATTCCCACTTGATGTCTTTGTTGCTAGCCTACTCGCTTTTTTGGGGGTTGACTGCTTCCGATGGGGCGTTGCTATGAAATTAAACATTTCACAGGTATTTTCTTCATACTTTGATTCGCTGCTCGTTGCTTTGTTCTCTGCGGCAGCAGCAGCAGCCCACATGGAGCACCAATTTTCCTTTAGCCTTTGTTATACTCTAGAACGACGCCATTTTGTTTTCTTGTTCAGCAGTTTTTTTTTCGTGGCATCATTTAGGCGCTAAATATAATTTAAGTAGCATACATCTGATTGTATATATGAAGTAGGTGAATGTGTGTGTGTGGGTTGATGAGTCAATGTGTGTGTGTGTGTGTGAGGCATGATCTAATTAAAAAGTGCTTCGATAGCTCTTAAGCTTTCCATTGAAATGATTTTCACCAATCAAATTAGAGTAGGAGAGAATTTGGAATACTTTTTTCTTAATTTTAATATATTTTGTTTTTATTGTCTACGACTCCATAAAGCATTTCAAATCTGAACTGGAGAGAGGCTCTACAGTTCTAGCCTATTTGAAACTTGCGCTCAAAGCTTTTATATGCTTAATTTTCTTAAGCGTCGATTCCATAAGACAATGGAGTATCTTAACAGAGGACATTTGCTAAAATATAACAACCCGACGTATAATACTTATGTGCAGCTTTTATAACAACTTCTAGGTACACTTCATTATATTGATAAAAAGAAAAATAATATAAATAACAACCCTAATTTCTAGCTATACCCAAGACTACTTGATAATGTATAACATAACGAATTTCCGCAAGAGGACTTAAACATATGCATATACATATTATGTATATATTACGGTAGTATACGCATTTTAAATCAAATCAACTACATAGATTATTAAATTTCACATGACTATGGATAGAGTTCAGACATACGGCTGGGCCGCCCAGTATCAAATAATTAAATTTTTTTGATTCGTTTGAGTATTTATATTAAAATAAATTTACTACTTGGATTACGATTAACGTTAAATAACCTTCTTACTTATGCCATAAACAATTTATTCGTCCTTGTTAATCAAGTTTTAATCGAAGAATTCTCAAATAAAATTCATTATTAAATTTTTAATTAACGTAAGCCTTTGGACATAAGACTTTAATCACAATTTAGTATTCAACTTTATTTGATTCGATTTAATATTAATATTAAATTCCATTTCCAGTATAAACATTTCACCTCGATTATGCTCAGCATTAAACAAGTATTTCCATAAACACTCTATTCGTCTTTTGTAAATCAAATAATCACAGATTCATACACATTCATTCACATTCACTGCAAAATTAAATGCATTGCCTTAATGCTGCAATCTTATTCATATTGGATACCTTAATCTATTTGCTATTTGAATTTGAAGTTGAGCAACTCCATCTCTGTCCATCTTGCACAAACTCCGCAAACTGCACTTATGAATTTCTCACACTGAATCGAACTCTTCGGGATATCTTAATGCTTTCCCTTTGGCCCGCAACTGTTCACTGGGCAACCGGTTCAATGTAAATAATATTTGCCGAAAGCCCGCTGGCAACCGACCGACCCAACCCGGCCCAGTCCCTAGAAAGTATCCAGACAGTAGATGGCAGTTAGGATTGGAGCAAAGGCTGGCACTTTAACTGGAACTGGCACTGGCACTGACACTGGCTATGGGACGGCGTAGTCAAGCAAATGAGATGTAGTTCGGGCAACACGACGACCCGGCATACGTCATAGAGTCGAGCTTCAAGCCGTCCGTCCACGTTGTTGTTTATAAACAATAAACGAAGCCAGCGGCGATTGCGCGTCGCCTAATGTGCAGGGGCGGCTTTGGTTAGAGGGTTAATGCTTCGCCCCCCCCCACCGGAAGTGCAAGGTGCTTTTGCATTAGTTCACAAATCAAATGGTAAAACCACGCGGACAACTTCATAAATTTGACGTGTGAAAAATGCAACATGAAAATACACAAGCACACACACTTACACACACATACACTAACACTCGCTGGAATCACTAAGGACGCGCCACGGCAAATTATTGATCAAATAAGTTTGGGATTTTTTGTTTGGTCTGTTGTTATTGTTTGGCTTTTGCTGCTGTTTTGGATTATTTCGCTTACTTGCAAGACCATAAAGCACTTTGGCTCAGTTCGATTAAGGACCCATACGAGGGATCTGCCACTGTTCGATGATGTTGCTCCTCTATTGATGTTGTTGCTATTGCTGGCGCCGCTCACTGTGCTTGCTGTGCGAGCGTGAAAGTGCAACTACAACACGAAACTTGTTCAGGCTGCTATTGTTGTCGACCACCTGCCACCTGCCGCCCGCCGCCTGCCCGCTGGCTGGAGTGCTCAAGTGCCGCCGACGGGGCGTAGGGGTAGTTAATTGGTAATAGAGTTGGTCAATACACTCCTCTGTCTGCCATTGCTGCCGGTGGTGTCTAGCGCACGCACTCAATCGGCTGCCCGAGCGAGACAGAAATGCATTTTGGGCATTGGCCCAAACGAGAACTGCAGTTGCACTGGCAGCAGCCGTCCCAGTGCCAGTGGCAGGACACTTTCTGCCCCGAAGCCTCTAACACCCTCTCGGCATTGCATTTGCATCTAGATCCCATGCTGCCGGCACATATCGGCAGCTGTGCTGGCAGTTGCTGACGCAGTAAGCGTGACGCTCTTACCAAAAAGACAAACATTTGTTTATTTCTGTTAAGGTTTTCGACCGGGTTGCACGGCGAGTGCACGGCACAGGACGAGTTTAAATGCACATATATGTGTAAATGTGTATATGTAGGTGTGTGCATAGAGCATACACAAATATTTGGTCTTCAGCAGAGGCCACTTGAAGCAATTTAATGCCAGTGGAATGATTGAACAGCAGCTAAATCTGTCTAAGTTTAGTTGAAGAATAAATATAATACGTAGGATTCCTAATAATACTTGTTCCTGCATAGATAAAATTTAGTCAAGCTTTAGCTTTGGACAATCTTTACAAAAATACTTAATTTGAAAACAAACAAAAAATTGTTAAGAGTAAGAGATATTTTCAATACGGACTATTTTGTTGAAGCCTGTTTTTTCTAAATATGAGTCATGAATACTAAAAACTAACTGGATTTAACTGGAATTTTTGATAATTCGTAGCATTGTAAAAATGTCTATTTTATTCCAGATCATAGCCCTTTTTATTTATTTTTGTTGACTAGATAATTTATATATTTGGTGTTTATTCTATAAACTGAACTTGACATACGGGTATATACACGTATAAATTGACTTATTGGAGAAGTTTGGTTCTTTTTGATGTTATCGAACAGCAAATTTCCACTGTCACAAAATGATTGAAGCAAGAATTAATGCATTAGCTAAGTCTGCTCGGCCAGTAGATACTCTGAACAATTATTTTGTGTCCTATTTTATACATGTATATTTACATTTAAATACAACACATGTACTCATACAGGAATATATATAAAACATTTTTAGTTACGCGACTTCTAATGCCTGTTACATACATTTTCTCAAAACCTTTATACCCTCAACTTTAATTTTCAATGGGTTTCTTATTTAAAAAATATATATAAAGGTTCCACCCCAAGCCATGAATTAAAATTTAAGTTGAATATTTTTAGATAGATTTGACAGATTGACATAGAGCAGAGGTTATGAGAAGACAATATTCATTTGAAGATAACGAAATTGAGATTCAATTGATAAACATGTTCATGAATAAATGAAGAGAGAGGCCAGAATTCAATCGAATTGAACGAAATAAAGAAATAGAAAACATTCTTTGAGAAATATCAAGTTAAGCAGTTTATATATAATGGATACAGGATATTTATATTACGATTAAGATTTTTCTTCGAATATATTTGAAGCAAGTGACTACTCTAATACAATCTGCACTTAAACTGAAATGTCCTATGTCCTTTAACAAACTTAAACGATGCTTACGATATTTATCTAATACGTATGTAATCTTAACACGTATTTTAGAGTATGTATTTATGAACAAAAGGATAATTCCATTTCAGCAACAAAGCAGTTGGAGCTATTTTTATCATTTAACATATGCATACAAAAAGTTTTCTTTAAAATGATTTTATATTACGTTTCCATAATAAGTTTGTTTTGTTCAAAATGAGTTTCTAGCATATTGACAATAATATTAATATTTATACCGTATCATCAAGTATATCAGATTATATTCCTAAAAACGGGCAATTTCATTATAAGCCCCATTTAATTATGATTTATAATTTACACTCTAACTATATGATTTCTTCTCTAAAGCAAGTCAGTGTTAAATGGCTACGGTCTTTTTTTTTTTTATACCCTGAACCCATTTTCAATGGGAAATAAGGGTATAATGGTTTTGTTTTAACTCGTAACTTGAGCAAATTAATTGTGATTTGAAAGCAAAGGGAGCTGAAAATGCGGTCAAGTGAGAAAATCGAAATGCAATCAGCAATCGAGCTGTGGCCGAACTCTGCAGTGTTTTCCCATTGCTCCAATGGCTGTTTAATCAAATATGTTATATGCGCATTAATTGAAATGGCAAAAGACACATTGTTCACCTGAGCAGCGATACTTGCGGCTTGCAATTATACCAGTTCAGAGCACTGCGGGTCGAATGTCGCCAATGATGAGAATGATGAGAATTATGGGAGTTATTGACTGTCATCAGCAAAGCCATCAAATCATCAGATGCTCTGACAGTTATTATGCGAGCGTTCGCCTGGCATGTGCTGACCCCATCCCCCTCGCTGCCTTAGTCCAGGCAAGCGGTGCGAGGCAGCAAAGCGGAAATGTGCAGCGAGATACTTGTTCTACACCTGGTGCGGTCGCTCGGTCGGCTGTGCAACCGGGCATGGCAGCCGTAAGAGTATCGCACACGCCACTTGGATGCGAAGGTGCACGCGGGTGGCTGTGCCACGCATAGCATATACATGTCCTGCCACAAACTGTTACCTGGATGTGTATATTTTGGGGGTTGGTTGGCCGCTTGGTTGGCTGGCTGGCTGGTTGGTTGGTTTGCTGGTGGCCGTGGCCAGGACTCGTCTTAATTGCCTCTAAACATTAAGCCCTACAGAAATGGCTTGCGCTGCAAAAGTTTAAAGTCGGAAAACTCGAGTTCAAAGTGTGGGAAGCGTAATTTTCTCATTTTCCCGTTCAATGAAAACTCATTTACAAATCCTCGTAATGCTTGGAAAAATGGAAAAAGTTACATGCTTTTTGATCTTTGACTCTCGCAAAGTTTTTTCATTTCCACATAATTGTGACATTTGCCGTCCTGTCGAACGGGAACAACGGCGGGGGCGGAGTGGAGGCGGTCACTTAAATTAGTCCAATGGATTTTTCTAGTACTCACCATATCAAATGCGTAATATCATCCTGCACACTTGACAGTATCCTGGATTTGAATAGATTGCATTTTCAAATCAAATTTTTTGCACATTTTTGGACATTTTATTTTTGTTGAATTTTTGTGGAAATTAGAAATATATAAAAGTTAGCGCTGTTCCTTTGTGCGATATCCTTCATTTGGTATAAAAATTAGACCGGAAGGAAGTGTGGAGCTCACATATTCACACACACACATGCACACGATCGACCGTGCTGCGACGTAACTTGTTGTGTTTGCGTTTTTCGTTTCCTTGGCAACAACAGGGGACAACAACAAACAAAGTGATGGCATTTTATTGGCCAAAAGGCCGCGTTGCTTTTCAAATGAAAACGATTATCGGTTTAACACATATTGTTGGGTATTTGTGAGTATTGCACGTACGATTTCAAAATTAATATTCTAAGACTATTGCACGAATTTAAAAAGATTTACAAAAATTTCCGTAAAATTGCTTAACTAAATGGTTAGCAGCTGACTCGGCATTGTGCAGTGTTGGTAAATGGCCAAGTCGCATCTGCAAACTAAATAGTGTTTCGACTGTCTGGCAGCGCTGCGGCAGGGCTTGTGCTGTTTTTGCCATTCGCATGTATTCGTCAATCGATTTGAATTTGGCGGCAAAATTATACGTAATGAAAGTGCCATCTAATGGAATTATTAATTTATTCAAATACAATTTAATTAAGAACACAGTTTTATAAATTTCTTTGGCAAGCATTAATATGACTGCAAAAATGTTTCTTGTTTGTTTTCCTTTCAACGCGCCAAAACTGTATGCAATTTGTTGCACATTACATACCTGTTAATTAATTTGTTGCGATTCGCAATTTTAACACTTGAATGGCATAACAGCAAAACCAATTAACGCTCTAATAAGGCAATGTCTCCCCAATGCATTGCACACACACAAGCAGCCACACGTCTACTCAACTGTAACTATTGAATATGTATATCGAAATTGGTTATTTATGTACATATTTACATTTACATATTCATGCATACACACATTCCTGCTCAATGCTGTTCGTCTAGTTTCGCTCAATTAGCCAGCCGGCAAGTCTCTGAGCTCTCGCACACGTGTTGCACATTAGCAGGCGAGCTCGCTAGTTCGCGTCCGCAAGTACAACTGAACTTTAGTCGTATTTGTATATGTGTGTGTGTGCCTGTGTGTGTGAGTGTGGATATTTGTATTCTACATGCAGAATTGAATTATTAATAACAATTGTTTTCAATTTTCAGTTTATGAGTTTTGTTGTTTTGTTACACATTTTTCAATAATATTTTTCTTTCTTCTTCTTTCATTTTGTATGACGCATTTTCTGGAATTTTATTGAGTTCTGTTGTTGGCAACCGCAGGGGCACACCCTCGGAACTGGTGCCAGTTGCACCGCACGTTTGCCTCAATGAATTTCCGTTACCATACGAAAAGTGCGTCACAGTATATATACATACATACATATATTTATTGCCGTATATATACACACATCGGTCATCGGTATATATGTATGTACTAAGATACGAATCATACGTAACGGGGCCGATGTAACTATCATGACAAATATTGACAGCGACACTATTGGCACATTGTCATTGTGGCTCTGGACTCGTTCGCGGCTTTGGATTGACATAACAATGTCTTTTGGATTACACCCAGGGCACCCAGGGCACCCCGGTCACCTCGGGCACCCACGGCGTATGCGTAATAGGGAGAGTCATCTACTTTAGCGAATTTTTAAAAGTGAATGTGGTTCCTTCAAGGCTATCCCGGCCATGGTCAGGGTAGCTCAGCCTTAAAATCCGTATGCAAATTAAATTCAACCAGATGCCACTACTTGTGTCCATATGTGTGTGTCTATATGTTTTTCTACATTTATTACAATCAACATCAAAACAAAAGTTCAAAGCTGCGGCGTCACCTTGTCGCCAGAGTAGCAGGCCTAATAGGAAATCCAAAACCCGCTTTATCTGATTTATCAAGCGGCTACAGCATTTAAATGCAAAACGTGTAACTCGGCTTGTAACTTTTACATAAGCTGCGAGCGCAGCGAAAATAGAACTCGAGAACGTAAACAAATACGAAATGCTTCGACATCAAATGAAATTCAAATAATACAACAACAGCAACAAATTCAAATACAAATGAAAAACATTTGTGGTTGATTGGCTAGAATATACCTAAGAAAATATAAATATATATGAAATATAAAGAAAAAATTTAATTTAAAAATATTTAC